TATGGATCAACTTCTAAAACATGCCTGAATCAGAGCTGGGCATGTGGTCTGCAGGCTCCAAGCACCGGGCAGAGCTGGTATTCTTGGCTATGAATGCTCAGTGAACGATCACCTGTATGCTCTTGGTAACAAAGATGAAAGGTACTAACTAGCAAACCTTTTTTCTCAGTGCAGTAAGCTGAATATTTAGGATCTGTACTGAAAAAGAAAAGGATAAACCAACCATTTGGCTAGTTTCCTGAACTGCCAAAAGTCTCAGCACTGAGATGGAACTGGATTATATGTGAAGCCATCTGCCATCTCGGTGGACAGATTGGGACAACGAGTCAATTATAGAGACATGATAGATATTTCCCGAATTGTGCACGAGCACAAGGAGAAACAGGAGCTCAACAGCACCTGAAACGGTCAGAAATGAATTTGGGAAAATGGGATTTGGGGTCAGCCTTTAAGGAGGGAAAGTCCTGAGTGGAAGGCCACCTTGGAGACCAAGGCAGGTAGGAGTACAGCGAGCCTCTAGGCTATGAAAACGGCTTAGCCACAGCTCACGATGGGAAAACACCTTTCAGGGTCAAAGGAGTCTCAAATGCCCAGTGTAAATGCAACGTGGCTTTATGAAACATCAGTTTCTGGGCAGGTGAGAAGAGGAGAGCTAGTCCACCACTGGAGAATCTCAACACGGAAGGTGAAGAAGCTACTGTGTTAATCCAAGTATAAGGATCTTGGCAACTGGGATGACAAAAGGGACAGAGTCAGTGATTTAAAAGAGAAAAAAATCAAAGATTGGCTGTGAAAGAGCACCTCTAGAAAAAGAACAAGAGTGTCTCCTTTAAATAAGTAAGGAAATGGGCTCGACAAGGCAAGTAACGAACAAGGTCTGGACGTGAATTTGAGCTGGCAGTGGCAGGTACATCTGATAAGTGCCCACCGAAGACCAGAGATTTGAGAGAAAAGCTCTGTGCACAAACAGAGCAGAGAAAGATGTGTCAACTGAAATCTAGAGATGGTGACAGAAACTCTGAGAGCCGGGAGACCATGTATTCTGCAGGTATTCCCAGACAGAACGGTTTTCATCTCACCTCCTTCATGGTAATAAATACTACTTTTAGGGAAGTGTCATATAAAGGCCCCAAACAGGCAAATTAATGTTGAAAAAGAAAACCAAAACTAGAGGCATCACAATTCTGGACTTCAAGCTATATTACAAAGCTGTAATCATCAAGACAGTACGGTACTGGCACAACAACAGACATGTAGAGGGACGCCTGAGGGGCTCAGTTAGTTAAGTGTCTGACCCTTGGTTTTGGCTCAGGTCATGATCTCACAGTTTCATGGGTTCAAGCCCCGCATCAGGCTCCACACTGGCAGTGCGGAACCTGCTTGGGATTCTGTCTTCCTCTCTCTCTGCTGCCTCCTCACTTGCATTGTCTCTGTCTCTCAAAACCATATAAATTTTTTAAAAATTATTTAAAAAAAAAACAGACACATAGACCGATGGAACAAAATAGAGAACCCACAAATACACAGCCAACCAATCTTCAACAAACCAGGAAAGAGTTTCCAATGGAAAAAAGACAGTCTCTTCAGCAAATGGTGCTGGGAAAACTGGACAGCAAAATGCAGGAGAATGAAACTGGACCACTTTCTTAGCCATACACAAAAATAAATTCAAAATGGGGCACCTGGGTGGCTCAGTCAGTTAAGCGTCTGACTTCGGCTCAGGTCATGATTTCATGGTTCGTGCGTTCAAGCCCCACGTCGGGCTCTGTGCTGACAGCTAGCTCAGAGCCTGGAGAGGGCTTCAGATTCTGTGTCTACCTCCCTCTCTGACCCTCCCTTGCTCATGCTGTATCTCTCTCTCTCTCTCTCTCTCTCTCAGAAATAAACATTAAAAACAAACAAAAAAAAATTCAAAATGGATGAAAGACCTAAGTGTAAGACAGAAAGAAAACCATCAAAACCCTAGAGGAGAAAACAGCCAACACCCTCTTTGACCTTGGCCGCAGCAACTTCTTACTACACATGTCTCCAGAGGCAAGGGAAACAAAAGCAAAAATGAACTATTGGGACTTCATCAAGATAAAAGCCTTCTGCACAGTGAAGGAAACAATCAACAAAATTAAAAGACAACCTACTGAATGGGAGAAGATATTTGCAAATGACATATAGGATAAAAGGAACTCATCAAACTCAACACCCAAAAAACAAATAATTCAGCGAAGAAATGGGCAAAAAACATGAACACTTATCCAAAGAAGACATCCATATGGCTAAGAGACACATAAAAAGATGTTCAACATCACTGATCATCAGGGAAATACAAATTAAAACTACAATGAGATACCACCTCATACCTGTCAGAATGGCTAAAATGAGCCTGGGTGGCTCAGTCGGTTGGGCGTCTGACTTTAGCTCAGGTCATGATCTCACAGTTCATGGGTTCGAGCCCCGCGTCAGGCTCTGTGCTGACAGCTAGCTCAGAGCCTGGAGCCTGTTTTGGATTCTGTGTCTCCCTCTCTCTCTGACCCTCCCCTGCTCACGCTGTCTCTCTCTCTCAGAAATAAATAAAACATTTAAAAATTAAAAAAAAAAACAAAAAGAATGGCTAAAATTAACAACTCAGGAAACAAGTGTTGGCAAGGATGTGGAGAAAGAGGAATGCTCTTACAGTGTTGGGAATGCAAGTTGGTATAGCCACTCTGGAAAACAATATGGAGGCTCCTCAAAAAATTAAAAATAGAACTACCCTAGGACCAAGCAAATACACTACTAGGTATTTATTCAAAGGATTAAAAAAATGCTGATTCGAATGAGCACATGCACCCCAATGTTTGTAGCAGCACTATCAACAATAGCCAAATTATGGGAAGAGCCCTATGCCCATCTATACACACACACAAAAGAACACTACTCGGTGATGAAAAAGAATGAAAACTTGCAACAACGTGATGGAACTAGAGTATATTATCCTAAGCAAAATAAGTCAGTCAAAGAAAGACAAATATATGATTTCACTCATATGTGAAATTTAAGAAACAAAATAGATGAACAGGGGAAGGGAAGGAAAAATAGGAACAGAGAGGGAGGCTAACCATAAAAGATTCTTAAATACAGACAAACTGAAGGTTGCTGGAAGAGTGTCAGATGACGGGTATGGGCTAAATGGGCAATGGGCATTAAGTAAGGCACTTGTTGGGATGAGCTGTTGTAATATAAGTGATGAATCACTAAATTCTATTCCTGAAACTGTTATTACAGGATATGTTAACTTGGATTTAAATAAATATAAATTTTTAAAAAAGAACGTATTACAGGGGCGCCTGGGTGGCTTAGTCGGTTGAGCATCCGACTTTCGTTTAGGTCATGATCTCGCGGTTCGTGGGTTCGAGCCCCGCGTCGGGCTCTGTGCTGACTGCCAGCTCAGAGCCTGGAGCCTGTTTCAGTCTGTGACTCCCTCTCTCTGACTCTCCCCTGCTCGCGCTGTCTCTCTCTCTCTCTCCTAGAAATAAAACATTTAAAAAAAAAATTTTTTTTTTAAAAGAAAAAGAACGTATTACATACAATTTGATGATGGCTTAAGAAAACAAACAACTTGGGGCACCTGGGTGGCTCAGTCAGTTGAGTGTCTGGCTTCAGCTCAGGTAATGATCTCACGGTTCGTGGGTTTGAGCCCCGCGTCAGGCTCTGTGCAGCCAGCCAGCTCAGAGCCTGGAGCCTGTTTCGGATTCTGTGTCTCCCTCTCTCTCTGACCCTTGCCTGCTCATGCTGTCTGTCTGTCTCTCCCTCTCCCTCTCAGAAATAAACACAACATAAAAAAAAAAAAAATTTCCCTTAAAAAACAAAAAGTGGAAGAAATCTACAAATGTTCACAGCGGTGTCATTTGTTGGTAGGATCAATGGTCTTCCTAAATTCTTGGAATTTCCCATTTTTTAATAGCAAAGTATGGACTTTTATTAGAAAATGAAAATAAAATTTTTTTAAAAGGAACAATCCCCCTTTTAGCATTTATAAAAGCTCTTGTAAATGTATACCTAAATGAATTTCACAATATGTAAGTTAAAAGTTAATAAAAGTACCACTGACATAACCTTCTATACCCACCATACTGAATACATTTAGTTTTGACAAGACAACCTGTTTGTGAGAATGCTTACTAGTAGGAGGATAAATTCTTACAGCTTCCCTAACAAGGACAATTTATCAAAATTAAAAAACTAAAAAATCATAAGCACTATACCCAACAGTTCTACTGCTAGAAATTTATTTGTGGGTATTCTCCCTAAAATACATACAAGAAATTTCACTGCAGTACTGTTTGTAATAGCAAAAAAAATGAAAATAACCCAAATCCCCATCAAGCCTTGGGATAGGAGAGGGTGAGAGGAAATGTAACATAAATGTGCTTATTTAGCCTCACTACTTAAACCGCAGAATGCTTGAAAAAGAAAGAACAGGTCTTCAATCTCTTTACTCCCAAGGTTCACACCTGTGACCCAGACACGGAGGCTCAAAGGCAACAGGTATTCAAATGTTGGCTGATTTTTTTTTTAGGGTGTAATAATTTATTCTGACTTTAGCAGCCCTACCACAAAAAGCTCCTTATTTCATATGTGTAAGGATATGTGATGACCAGTTTCATGTCCTTGCTTTATACAAAACTTCAGTTTCAGAAACACTTGCCTTTGCTGACTTAAAAAAGCCAAAGTCATGTAAAGGAAAATGAAAATGTTTACCTCATGCCTTATCATTATTACCTGTAAGTGGCAAGACTTTGCCCACCTTCTACTTTAACCTACTTAACAAGGAATTTGGCCTACAGCAGCCCATTACCTTATCGTTAGCATTAACCGAACAATTAATTATTCCCAGGATTGCATTTAGATCTTTGGTGACATGTACCAAGGGCGAGGTCAGGCACAAATAAATTCTAACACTAAAGGGCTGTCAGCACAACTGCATCATGAAATGCAGAACAAAAAAGATTAGGTTTCAGACGCACCTAAATGCCATGACGCAGACCTGTCCATATGCTTTCCTTTACAAGCCGCTGAGCTGCATTTCCTGGTGCTGCTGAGGTCGAAGCTCGAAACCACAGGGTGATCCCGGTTAGCAGAGCCAAGACCTAGCTAGAGAAAAACAGATGATCAATAAAAACAGAGTAATAATAAACCTAGCAGGAGGCACTCTGCATGAATGGAGGCTACTTCTCACTCAGCTGTGCCCAATCCTAAAACGTGCTCCATTACTCCCTCATCCTTTTTTTTTTTTTTTAAGAGAGAGAGAGAGACAGCGTGAGCAGGGGAGGGTCAGAGAGAGAGGGAGTCACAGACTGAAACAGGCTCCAGGCTCTGAGCTGGCAGTCAGCACAGAGCCCGATGCGGGGCTCGAACCCACGAACTGCGAGATCATGACCCAAGCGAAAGTCGGACGCTTAACCAACTAAGCCACCCAGGCGCCCCGTTTTACTCCCTCATTCTTAAGGAGCATCTAGGAGTCCCCAGCCCATCCCTGGGCAGGATCACAAACTGCACCTTCAATCCCTTCAAAACTGACTCTCCATGTGCACACAATACATTGTGAGATGGTATTTTAGAGTATCTGGAAAAAGAAATTTTGTACTTAGTTGGGGGTTTTTTCCTTGATAATTTTTTAAACTTCACATTCCCTGGCATAAGGCCTCGATTTACAAAAAATAAAAATAAAAATTTCTTAAAAAAAAAAACAAAAAGCTTCTCTAGCGTTCAGTATGTGCCAAGCACTGTACTATGCATCTGTTAAAATTAATAAAGGGAAACCTCACTAAAGTGGAGTGGGGAAGAGAGTAAGGGAAGTTGGAAGGGGGAAGCCAGTACCAATCAGTCAATTACAGGAAGCTGTCAATTACAGACCCCAACAGAAGAATGTCTACAGGCCCCAACACAGAAAGATGTACACTGCAGCTCTACAAGAAACTGGCTACCCTTACAGCTCAGCCAATGACAAACCACCATTAGCCTGAATTAGTGTCCTACTCCAATGGGCTGTTGTTCAAAACAATCCCTCCCAACTTTCTCCTTCTGTAAAAGATAACCCTCTTTGTTGGACTTGCCTATGGCTTTGTCACAGCTTCATGCCTGGGAGTTGTATTTCTTGATTACTCCCAATACTTTTTTCCAGCAAAAATGGGAGTAGTAAGTTATTTTACAAGTTTTTTGTGTTTTTTTTTTTTTTTAAGGTTACTTATATGTAGAGAGACAGGAAGCAGGGGAGAGGCAGAAGGAGAAAGAGAATCCCAAGGCTGTCAGCACAGAGCCCAACGCAGGGCTCAGTCTCACCAACTGTGAGATCATGACCAAGATTAAGACTCAGATGCTTAACCGACTGAGCCACCCAGGCACCCCTAAAATAACTTGTTTTTAAGGTTAACCTTATTTGATGAGTGTATGTGGGATCCAGAAGACCACCAACAACTCAAGGCCGGTGAGCAAACACATACCCATGCTGACAGAGCTACCTGAGCTCACTGCTTTCTTGCCCGCCTGAAAATTTGAGGGCAACTCTTCTGGATTCCGAGCTCCACTCTCTGTTTTAAGTTCCCCAGGTATTCAGAATCTGTTTTAAAGCTTGGTCATTTATAAGAACAGTCATTTGGTCTTTGGTCCGGCTCCTGTTAGGAACCAGACTATTCCTAATAAAACTCTGCCACTCCTTGGCCCAAAGGAACCAGACTATTCCTAATAAAACTCTGCCACTCCTTGGCCCAAAGGAACCAGACTATTCCTAATAAAACTCTGCCACTCCTTGGCCCAAAGGAACCAGACTATTCCTAATAAAACTCTGCCACTCCTTGGCCCAAAGGAACCAGACTATTCCTAATAAAACTCTGCCACTCCTTGGCCCAACTTCTTGGGAATAGGGCTGTGCCTACCGGAACAGAGTTGGCCTTTGCTCAGATTCCTTTCAGAACCAGGCTGTTCATACTGTTTAGGAATCTTTCTTTCCTGCTCTAGAAAAGACAAAGAAAGCAAACCAAACAAACAAGAATCTCTAAGTGGGATCCCAGTCCTCAAAATGTTTGAGGGTGCACCCTCTTCGGGCACCCTGGCCGGCTCCCCTTCATGCACACAGTAGCTTAAAACTCCAACGGCCATTACAGGGAGCTCACCATCTCTCCAAACTTACTTTTCTGAAAAGTAAATTGGACAGCCATGGGTCTAAGATTGTCCAAACTGAACGGGATGCCTACTTTGGGATTCTGAAGCTTCAGAACACTCTGCAAAATATAGTTTCTAGACTAATGGAGGCAAACAAAGCAACGAAAGGGCTGCTGAGGCCTCCCTGCCCCCTTCCCGTCTTCCAGGCCTCAGGCCTTCCAGCAGCTGTCTCCTGCTCAGTCCCCACCCTCACTGAGCTTTTCTTCCTCTGAACATCCTCCCACTCCCTCCTTTCCTGAACCTAATAAAACCTGCTCCTTTAAAGTTAAGTCTTCTAAGGATCTGAATGAACCCCAGAGTTCAAGCCAGAGGTAAAGAGTTTCCTAAAGTGACTCAGGACCCATGTTTGCTAGAGAATTTAACATAGTTACTCCAACTTACCACCCTGCTTTCTCAGATTTGTATCAGTCAGGCCATGTGCTTGTTGGTGAGAACCAGGCCTAATGGTGAATGAAACTAGCCCCATGAGAACATCCTAAATACCCTATAAGAAGCCCTTTAAGACATCAAGCCCATAATAGGAGACCACAGACTCAGGGCCTTATTATCCCCTGCACGAGCCCATGTGATACCCCTAGTTTACCCATGAGCAGAGCCAGGTGCCAAGGATGGAGGTTAGTTCAGGACCTCAGAGCAAAAAATAACATTATCCCTCGGTGCCCTGATGCTCCTAACCCCCATACACAGACAGCTGTTTGCACTGAAAGCAAATTCTTTACTGTAACTGTTCTATGCAGTGCGTTTTTAGCATCCAGTTGATAAGGAGAGCCGGTACCTTCTTGCTTTCACCTTCTTGCTTTCACGTGGTAAGAACAGTACTGTACCTGACCGTGATGCCCCAGGGTTACACAGAGTCCTTCTTAACTTTTTCAAACCTTAAATGCTGATTTGGAGGATATAAGATTTTCTGCAGGCTCTGGGTGGTTACGATATGTAGGTGATTGGCTTCTCTGCTCCCTTTTTCAACCCTCTTCACAGGAGACAGCATTTACCTGTTAAAACTTTTGGTCTTAAAAGGACAAAGTCTTCAAAGAAAAATCAGTTTGCTCAAGCTAAAGTTCATCTTAGGGCACCTAATCTCAGAACAAGGATTACATTTAGATCCAGGTACATTTCATGGCATCCTGAACTTCCCAAGACCTGAAACTAAGGGCCAATTACAAAGTTTTCGTGGACTGGCTGTCTACTGTCGAACTGGGATTCCAGACTTCTTACAGCTCAAGCTCTAAGGCTTTACCAAAAACTGACAAACCTGACCATGTCATTTGGAAAGAACAAGAAGACCTAACTCTGGAGCCTTTAAAGAAAAGCCTAATAAAGCCCCCTTGCCTTCAGACATCCTAATTATCAACTTCCCTTTTCCTCGTCATTTGTGAGAGGGAAGAAAATGCCCTTGGAGTACTTGCCCCAAAACATGGGGGGACCATCACTGACCCCTGGGGTATTAGAACCAACTACTGGAGCCTGTGGCCAGGAACCTCCCTCGTTGCCTTAGGGCCATTCCTGGCACTGCCCTTCTGGTTCAGGCCAGTGAAGGGCCACAGGCCTCCCTCTAAGCACACTTAGGCCACATCCAGAAGAAGGGGCCCCCCTAAATCCTCACCACCTCACTCACCTCCCAGGAGATCCCCCTGCTAACTGTTCCTCATATATCTCCTTCTCATGGCATTAACCTTAACCCTGATATTCTCTTTCCTCCATGGCGGAGACCACTCACAACTGCCTCAGACTGGCAGATCACCTCTTAACTCCCAGTGACTGTTTATAGAAAACTCCTCTGACCGATGCAGATTTTTCATGGTATCCTGATGGTTCTTAAAGGATGAAAATGGCAAATCCTTTGCTGGGAATGCTAGCACCGAGGCAGCACTTTTACCTTTGGCTATCTCAGCCCAATAGGCCAAGTTCCATACCTGTACCTTGGCCAAAGGTAAAACCACAAACATTTATACCCATAGCTGGTATACCTTTGAGGTAGCTCAGGACTCTGTAGTGTTAACGGCAACAATGAGGTGCTCTCACCTCCAATGGGGATAAAATTTTAAATGGCTCCACATCCAAAATGTATTAAATGTCATACGTTCACCAGATGTTCTTTTATTAAGGTTCCTGAGCATTCTAGACTCTCCAGAGGCCAAAGGAAACCACCTCGCTGATATTTCCACCAAAGCACTGCTCTCAAAGAAACCAAGAGCCAAACCTCTGTCACAGTCCAAAGGGATGTTCTCCCAAATGAGGATTTTGAAAAACTGACCAGAAACGCCCACTAACTGGCCCCAGAAAAGGAAAAACAATTAGGGAACCTAATCATTGTTGGTTTGATAAAAAGATTGTGGGTTAGACCAAGTAATCCGGCCCAATTCATGAACCAATATTGACGGGGAAATAGAAATAAAGCTGCAAAAAGTGCCCACCCTGCTTGATCCATGCATTCAAAACACAACGCAGAAAAACGTGCACACACTGCTCATTTTAAATTACCTAAAGGCCCATTCAAGTTTTGGCAAATGGGTTTCATACAGCTACCCCCATCTCATGGATTTAAGTAGGATTTAGTAATGGTTTGCATGTCTTTTCACTAGACCAAAGCTCTCTCTTACAGACAGACCACTGCTTGTGTATCTAAAATTTTGTTAGAAAAAAATTATACCAATGTGGAGAAGCCCTCTTTAACTTCATAGTCATCAAGGAACCCATTTTACCAGGTGCTTGAATAAGTCTGTGCTATGTGGCCAGCTTTACAACACTTAGTGTACAATACCATCCTCAATCCTCAGGTTAGGCAAATGCACTAAGGGCACTATTAAGACTCAATCAGCAAAATGTATAGAGACCTCCCATATCATCTTGGTCTAAAGCATTCCCATTGACCCTTCTTAACTCAGAGCCACCCCTCTGGAGCTCACAGACTTTTACCCTTTGAGATAATCAGA